TTTCCCTAACTTTTTCTTGCACCATCCAATATCACTTTTACTGTGATCCATGAGATTCTGAACACCTCTGCAGATTTACTCAAGTTTATATCTTGCAAGTAGTTTGTGGTGTGTAGACACAGTCCTAACTTATAAAACTTATCTTTAAAAAGATATGTTACAGAAGTTTGTTTTTCTATGGAACTAGCTTTAAAAACAACAACAAAAATATTTAAGATTTTTACCTAAAACATTCTTCTTTCTGTTACCACATTTTATATATCTATTTTGTTTACAAATGGAAGTGATTACTGATGATTAGCAACTTGAGCCTGTTATAGGAATTCGCAAAGCCTGAACACACACACATTGCCTTAGCCTATCAATAGGGTAGACAATATCTATTAAGAAAGTTTGTCTGTTTGTTGCTGTTGTTGGACAAAATTTTATGTCTGTGTATGTACGATTTTTTTTTCTATTCAAAGATGTGAATTAAATGAAAGTGTGGGAGCCAGTTATATTATTTCATATTATGGGTGTTCTGGATCCTTTCACTCTATACCATTTTCTTATGAAGGCAGCATTTGCAGACTTGCTAATGGACTCTAGAGCTGAGCTATTTCAATTTTATACTTGACTCAGGGGATCAGCTCTGTGAACTTCATTGCATGAAGAAAGCAAATGTTTGTCTTGATTTTGAATGTACCTTTTTAATGTCTTCTTAAAACATATTTTGCTTAATAATATGGGTTTGTTTTCTTTTTATAGCATCATAGTAAATATTGCCTAGTATTTTCCCCCTCCCCAGGGTAGTTTATATACTATCCTACAGGTCATGCCAAAAATGAATAAAAGTTTAAATGCCAAAATGTTTATGAAACTGCTGTCTAAATACTGATTGATTGCACAGTTTAAATAAAAGTTTTCCTTAGTTAAAAAAGAAAAAAGTCCATGTTTTCTTTTACTCTTCAGTTTCCTTTTGAGGAATGGAGAATGAAAACTTTCAATTTACAGAATGATGGCCATCATGTCCTGGGATGGGATGATTATAGAGTCCACTCCAAGCAGTAGGAATAGAGTCTATTTAAGGTATCTAAGAATTGTTTTCATCTGGCATTTACTGAATAGCAGCAAGGAAATCACAGTTTTCCATTCCAGTAGACAGTTGCTCATATCAGGAACTAAATAGTAGGTAGCCTAAAAGCTACTAGATGGGCTCATCCAGATAGACACAGTTCTAATTCAGGTTAATTTTTGTTTTTTAATATTATTATTGAAAAATGGTTGAGAATATTGAAAACCTTCCTACTAAAAAATCTAGAAATCACAGATAAAAATATGACCCAAACAAGCTTTTTAAGATAACTGAATTCTTATTTAAAAAAAACAAAACTCCCAATTTTGGGAATGGAAGGGAAACTGAAAAATAGAACAGTAACTTCTTGAACTGACATTGTGCTGACTGTGGAAAATACAAAAGAAAGAATGGAAACGTAAGAGAACAAGAAACTGTTTATTTAAAAAAAACAGCAAGTATATTAGAATAAGAAATAAAATTTCCAGAAATTAAAAAATACAGTCATTGAGTTTTGGAAAATCTGTGAAATGGCATATCAAATAGACTGAAAGAATATTCTTAAAACTGGAAGATAGATGTGAGGGAATTATCCAGGATGCAGCACAGAGAGAGAAACAGATGGAAAATATAAAACAAAAGTAAACAGAAGACTCAACATACATCTGATAGCCATTCTAAAATGAAAGACTAAAGAGAATGAAGGATAAACAATATTCAAAGAGAAAATGACTAAATAATTTATGAAATCCTCAGATTCAGGAAGCACAAACCTCAATCTAGAAATATAAAAATAAATCCACACAAAGACTTTTCAGTGAAATTGCAGAACATCAAAGACAAAAAGAACTTGAAGGCAGAGAGAAAAAAAAGATTATATAGGTTGCCCTAAGAAGATTTCTCAATGACAATAAAAGAAGCCAGAAGACAGTGGGATAATACCTTCAAAACATCTCAAAATAACTACAATATGGACGTCTATACCCAGACAAACTATTATTTAAGTGTTAGGGTTAAATAAACATAATTCTAGATAAGGACTGAGAGAACTTATCTTCATACACTCTTGCTAAATGAACAATAAAGCATGTACTTTAAGAAGAAGGAAACAGAAATCCACAAGAAAAGTATGAGAAGCAAGAAGCAATGATAAGCAGGAAATACAAATCAAAAAGATGATGAGATACCACTCCATATCCACTAGGATGGCTATAATCAAAAGGATAACAGCAAGTATTGGCAAGGATGTGGAGAAATTAGAACGTTGCTGGTGGGAATTTTCCACAGCCACTGTGGAAAATAGTTTAGTGGGTCCCCAAAAAGTCGAACATAGAGTTTCCATTTAACCCAGCAATCTCACTCCTAGATATATACCCAAGAGAAATGAAAACAAATGTCCACACAAAAACTTTTACAGACATATGCATAGCAGCATTATTCATAACAGCCAAAAAGTGGAAATAACCCAAATGTCCACCAAGTGATGAGTGGATAAATGAAATGTAGGGGGCTGGCCTGGTGGCATAGTGGTTAAGTTTGCACACTCCACTTCAGTGGCCTGGGTTTCGTGGGTTGGGATCCTGGGCACAGACCTACACGCTGCTCATCAAGCCATGCTGTGGTGGTGTCCCACGTGCAAAGTAGAGGAAGACTGGCACAGATGTTAGCTCAGGGACAATCTTCCTCAAGCAAAAAGAGGAAGATTGGTGACAAATGTTAGCTCAGGGCCAATCTTCCTCACCAAAAAAATAAGGTGGTATATCAACTCAATGGAATATTATTCAGCAATAAAAAGGAATGAAGTACTGATACATGCCACAACAAGGATGAATTTTGAAAACATGTTAAGTGAAAGAAGCCAGTCAAAAAAACCCTGGCATATTATATGATTCCATTTATATGAAATGCTCAGAATAGGGAAATTTAGAGACAGAAAGTGGATTAGTGATTGCATAGGACTAGAAGGTTGCAGGGAATGAGAAATGACCACTAATGGGTATGGGGTTTCTTTTGGGGGTGATGAAAATGTTCTAAAGTTGACTGTGATGATCGTTGCACAACTCCATGAATATACTAAAAACCACTGAATTGTGCACTTTAAGTGGGTGTATTGCATGGTATATGAATTATATCTCAATGAAAATATTGTTTTAAAAAGCCATGATGAGCAAGGACATAGAGAAACGTGGATAAATCTAAATCAGCATTGACTATATAAAACAAAAATACTACTAATTTTATATAAAAACAAGGTAAAACAAAAATACGAAACAATGAGCTATAAGACTGGAAGAAAAATGAGCAGAGTCAAAATATTCTACCATTCTTTTATTAAATAACTTTATGTTAAAAATTAAAGAGTTAAAATAATAGAAATCGAATGTATAATTTCTATTTCTCCTAATTTAGGTGGAAAAGGAAATGAAGAACGCATGATCAATTTAATAGAAGGCAGGGAAGGAGATGGAAGAGAATAAAAGAAAAATAATCCTGAGAAAAAGAACAAAGTAATGTGGTAGGAAAAATACAATTGTATCTGTAGCTACAAAAAAAAGTAAACTGCCACCTTAAAGACTGGATAAAAAAGGAAATCTTGCTATACATTGTTGCCACTTAAAACATAATGACCCCAGAATTCAGCAAAGTTACAGGGTACAAGATCAACCCACAAAACTCACTTGCATTTCTATACACTTGGAATGAACAATCTGAAGAGGAAATTGAGAAAGCAATCTCATTTACAATAGCATCTAAAATAAAATATGTAAGCATAAATTTAACCATGGAGGTAAAAGACTTGTACACTGAAGACTACAAAACATTGCTAAAAGAAATTAAACACCTACAGGGGCCGGCCTGGTGGCTTAGCAGTTAAGTGTGCACGCTCCGCTACTGGTGGCCCGGGTTCGGATCCCAGGTGCGCACCGACGCACCACTTCTCGGGCCACGCTGAGGCCACGTCCCACATACAGCAACTAGAAGGATGTGCAACTATGACATACAACTATCTACTGGGGCTTTGGGGAAGGAAAAAAAAGGAGGAGGATTGGCAATGGATGTTAGCTCAGAGCCGATCTTCCTCAGCAAAAAAAAAGAGGAGGATTAGCACGGATGTTAGCTCAGGGCTGATCTCCCCCACAAAGTAATTAAACACCTACATAAATGGAAACATTTCCCATGTTCATGGATAGGAAAACTTAATAGTAGAGCTGTCAATACTACCCAAAGTGGTCTACAAATTGAATGCAATCCCTATCAAAATTCCAACAGCCTTTTTTAAAGAAGTGGAAAAGCCAATCCTCAATTCACATGGAATTGTAAGGGGCCCCAAATGAGCAAAACAATCTTGAAAGTAAGAGGACTCAAAATTCCTGATTTCAAAACTTACTACAAAGCTACAGTAATCAAAACAGTGTGGTAATGGCATAAGGATAGACATATAGACCAATGGAATAGACTTGAGAGTGCAGAAATAAACCCATATATCTATGGCCAATTGATTTTTTGACAAGGGTGTAAGGTCCATTCCATGGGGAAAGAACAGCCTCTTCAATAAACAGTGCTGAGGCAACTGGATTTCCGCATGCAAAAGAATGAAGTTAGGCCCCTATCTCACACCACACACAAAAATTAACTCAAAATGGATCAATGACCTAAATATAAAAGCTAAAACCATACCTCTTAGAAGAAAACAGGTGTAAAGCTTCGTGAACTTAGATGTAGCAATGGGTTCTTAAATGTTACACCAAAAGCACAAGCAGCAAAAGGAAAAAAACATAAATTGGACTTGAACAAAATTAAAAACTTAAGTGCATCAAAGGATATTATCAAGAAATTGAGAAGACAACCTACAGAAGGGGAAAAAATATTTGCAAATCATATATCTGATAATGGTTTAATATCCAGAACATATAAAGAACTTCTAAAACTCAACAAAGAGGCTAACAATCCAATTTAAAGATGGGCAAAGGAGCTGAATTGACATTTCTCCTAAGAAGTTTACAAATGGCCAACAAATACATGAAAAGATGCTCAACATCCTTAGTCATTGTGGAAATGCAAATCAAAACCACTATGAGTTACCTCTTCACACCTACTAGGATGGCTATAATAACAACAAAATTTTTTTAAAAGGAAAATAAGTATTGGCAAGGATGTGGAGAAATAGAAACCCTCATATATTGCTAGTGAAACTTAAAATGGTGCAGCCACTGTGGGAAACAGTTTGGGTTCCTCAAAAAGCTAAAAGGAGAATCACCAAATGAGCCAACAATTCCACTGCTTGGTGTATACCCAAAAGAATGAAAACAAGGACTGAAACAAATACTTGTGTATCAGTGTTCATTTGTGGCATTATTCACAGTAACCAAAGGTTGGAAACAACCCTAGTATCCATCAACAGATGAATTGATAAAAAAAATATGGTATACCCATACAATGGAATATTATTCAGCCATTAAAAAAGGAACAAAGTTCTGACACATGCTACATTGATGAACCTTGAAAACGTTACCACTCTTATTCAACAACATACTAGATGAGCTAGACAGCATCATATAGGTTGGTAGGTAGGACTGCAAAGGAAGAAACAAAACTGTCATTACATGCATATGATGTGATTGTCTATACAGGAAATCCAAGAAAAATCTATAGACAAACTATTAGTCCAAATAGAGGAGTTAAGCAAGATTGCTGGATATAAGATCAAAACACAAAGTACAATCGAGTTCCCATATATCAGCAACAAACCCCTAGAACACGTAATTTTAAAGAAAGGTATAACTTACCATATCAACAACAATTAAGGATTAAGAATATATCATACCAAACATGTATAATACTTTTATGGAAAAAATTATATAACTCTATTGAAGGACATATTTGAAGAACTATTTAAAGAAGGAGATAACCTGTATTTATGGATAGGAACATTCACTATCTTTAAAATATCAATACCCTCAAATAAATCTATATGTTTAAGGCAATTCAGATGAAAGTTCTAATATGACTTCTCACAGAAATTTTCATATGAAAAAGATAATATTAGATGACTACTTCATGCCGTAAATAAATGAACAAAACATAAAGACCTGATTGTGAAAAGCACAGCAGAATTGTTAAATTTTAGAAGAAAATGAACTTTTGTGATATCAACATAAGCAAAGATTTCTCAAAGCACACATAACTAAAAGCAAAAGCTGCAACTAAAAGATGAACAATTGGGGGCTGGCCCGGTGGCGCAAGCGGTTAAGTGCGGGCACTCTGCTGCAGCGGCCCGGGGTTCGCCAGTTCAGATCCCGGGCGCGCACCAACTCACCGCTTGTCAAGCCATGCGGTGGCGGCGTCCCATACAAAGTGGAGGAAGATGAGCACAGATGTTAGCCAAGTGCCAGTCTTCCTCAGCGAAAAAAGAGGATTGGCAGATGTTAGCTCAGGGCCCATCTTCCTCACACACACACAAAATATGAACAATTCAACCACATTAAAATTTATAGCCTCTCTATGACTAAAGATAACCTAAACAAAATGAAAAGCAACCACATACTGGCTCTCTATGACTAAAGATAACCTAAACAAAATTAAAAGCAAACCACATACTGGAAAAAGCTATGTGCAAAAATAAACCTCAAAGGATTGGTATCCAGACATTATAAAGAATTCCAAAAAACCAATAACAAAAACTGAAGCCACACAATAGAAAAATGGGCATGGATATAAACAGGCAATTCACAGAAAAGGTAATCAGAGAAATGCATCTAAAACAATGAGATAATAGTTCATACCCATGATATTGACACACACAAAAAAAGTCTGACAATAACAACTATTGGCAAGTATGGAAAGCTCTGAGAACCTTACACATTTCTATTAGGGATATAAACTGATGCAATTACTTTGAAAAGCAATTTGGCAACTTCTATCAATTGTACTTCTAGGTACCTATTCTAGAAAAAAAACTTTTGCACATGTGCACAAGGAAACACAAAATTGTCTGTGGCAGAACTATTTAAAATAGTGAAAATGTAGAAATAACCTCTCAGAAGGATAAGTTAGATAAACTATTGTTTCGTTAAATAGTGGAGTATTAAACAGGAAGCAAAAAACAAACTACTACTTATACTATCATATACCAAGATTTACTATAAAACTACAATCAAGACAGTATTTTATTGGTGCAAGGATAGAACAAAACAAAGTACAGAAACAGCCTCGTATATATATAGACACCCAATTTATGCCAAAAGTGCCAAGTAAATTCAATAAAATTTAAAATTTAAGAATATTAATTTAGTAGCTTTCTTTTTATTCATTAAAAATTATTGATTGATCAAGGCAGCAATTAGTTTAAATATACAATTTTTTAATGTTCCAGTTCACAGGAGCAGCAAACAAATGTTAAAAACAGAACAACAAAAAAGAAATATGAAAAAAAAAAGCAAGATATGTATCACCGATTTTTATCTAAGAGGCGTTTTTAGAACTACTAGCTACCTTCCGCTCACAACCCTCCACCCGGAGATTCTCATATTACTCTTTATTAGGGTTCAGTTTCACTACAAGAAACTGAAAATGGCAGTGACGTGAACAAAATAGAAGTTTATTTCCCTCTTGTCCAGAAGACTGGAGGTGGTCAATGCCGGGCTGGTCAGGGACTCAGCAGTGTAAGGGTTGCAGGCTCTCTCGATCTTTTTCCTCCATCCATGCATGGATTCCATTTCAAGTTCCTTCATGGTCAAAAACGGCTGCCGGGGTGGTGGTGGCGCAGAGGTTAAGTGCGCGCGCTCGGCTTCAGCACCCCAGGGTTCGCAGGTTCGGATCCCGGGGGCGCACCTACGCACTGCTTGTCAGGCCATGCTGTGGCGGGGTCCCATATAAAGTGAAGGAAGACGGGCATAGATGTTAGCCCAGGGCCAGTCTTCCTCAGCAAAAATAGGAAGACTGGCATGGATGTTACTCAGGGCTGATCTTCCTAACAACAACAAAAAAAGAAATGGGTGCCGGAACACCATTGTTACACTCACATTCTGTTCCAGTCAATGTAAAGGGAAGAAGAAAATGGTTCCTACTTTTAAGGACACTTATGTCCCGTTGTGCGGAACTTAGTCACCCATTACGCCTTTCTGCAAGAAAGCCTGGAAAATATAATCTTCCTTTTGGGCAGCCATTTCCCAGCTAAACCCTGAGAGTTCTGTTACTGAGGAAGGAAGGAAAGGAGGGAAGGATGGAGAGTGCGAGGCTATTGAGAATCAACTTAAGTCTCTGTCACACCGTTGCACCACTACAGATCAGTTAATGAGAGATATTGTTGCTGATAGCACATACACTTTGTGGATGCAGATGGGAATGAAGCAGAAAAAAGGGTTGAGAACCACTAACCTAGAGGAAGAAAATTAAAACAACTTACTGAAGGATATATAAAGTAATTCATCTTTTTATAGTGCAATTTGGTGAGAATATAAAATAAAATGCACAAATAAGACTTCTGTACAAGGATGTTTAGCACTGTTTGTAATATGAAAAATGGAAACATCGTAAATGTCTCATCAATAGAGATTGAAAAATTAAATTATAGTACATCCATATAATGGAATATTATGGTGCCATGAAAAAGAATAAGGCAGATCTTTTTTCACTGCTGGGGAAATAAATCTGTGGAATATGATTAAGTTTACATAACAGATATATAGAATTTTATTCTATTTTTGTAAGAAAATAGAGACTATAATAATAGCAATGTATATAATATTTACTATATATTAGGCACTATTCTAAGTACTTGATGTACATTAACTCATTTAATCCTCATAACAACCTTATGAAGTAGGTACTATTATTGTCCCTATTTTGCAGATGAGGACATTGAGGTACAGAGAAGTCAAGTAACTTTTCCAAGATAACACAGCTAATAAATGTTGAAGCAGGATTTGAAGTCAGGCAGCCTGGATCCAGGAGTCTGAGTGCTTAACTGCTATACATACTGACTCTTTTCTACATACATTTACACATATATTCATATTCAGATCAATATATATATATAAAAGAAAATGGATAATTAGGCAAATTTAACCTTTTGTACTCTTCAACCCTCCCTGACTTCCTGTAACCCTCACTTCTCTCTGTCTCAACCTTCTTCACCTCCAATTCTCTCCAGCTCAGCCTTACAAGAGCTATCTATTAATTTCTGTGTAAGGTATTAACTGATTATAAAGCTGTTAGAGCTAGGTAATTTACATTTTAATAGATAACTCTTCAAAACCAGAGCAATTTTACAATTCAAAAGAATGAAGCCGTAATAGTGGAATAACAAGTGGTAAGGTTGTCGTTTTTGGGTAAAAGGGCCTGACTAAAATTTATTCAGATGAATAACTGTATACACTCAGATTGTCAGTGCAGGTATACATGAGTGCATGTGCTTATAATTTGTATGTATTGTCAATATAATTTTTAAATTAGAAATGAAATCTGTGCTTTCACATTTTGTAACAAAAGCCATTATAAAAATGAGAACTCTGGGAGCCACGATTCTCACTGTAGGAGAAGAAAAATACAAGGAGGGAAAGGGTAAAGGCAAAGAAGAACCATGTAAATTGGTTTGGAATTAAAGGTATCCATATGTATTGATATGAATTCATGATTTAATATATATCGTTGAGCCATATGAAATTGCATTTTTCCTAAAAAGAGCCTATAAGCTGTGACACTTTAGTAGCAAAGAGCACACTAAACTCTCAGGGTTTGTTTTCTAAATACCATTCCCCACTAAAAGGAACCAGGGCTCTTTGGGGGAAATTGCTAATTCCAGGGCTGGGGCAGAGACAGTTAGTACTGGATCCTGGAACATCTTCTTGTGTCAGAAAGTAAGAAAATGCTCAAGGAGTTATGGGATATGTTCAAAAGATCACAGGAGTCGCCTGAAGGGGCTCCTACTAGCCAAATCTGGGACAAATTGGGTATCAAAATGAATAATATTATAATCCATTGAATAAAATAAATTTATTCCGAAGGAAGGAAAAAAGGAGAAAGGCACGCTCTTTCTTATGTAG